AAATTTATCATCATTAAATATATATTAGAAAATATAAATTTATTAATTAAATGATTATAAATATTAAAATAACTTAAAAATTAACATATATAATTTATATCAATTGAATATTAAATATAACATTTAACTTTTAAAAATATTTATTAAATAATAATATTTTTAAAATTAAAAACTCTAACTTTTATAAAAATCAAAACTAATATGTAATTTTCTCATTCACAACAAATTTCCATTTTACTTTTTTTATTTTTTAATTTGAACTTTTTGCATTACCACATTGCTACTAAGTACTAACACAAATACACACAAAAATCACTAATCAAGAAAGTGGAAATCAAATCCACTTTTGTTATCATTAGTCAATGGCTAAACCACTTAGGATTGGGATTTGGGTGGCATTAGTTAAATTAGGGATTTCTTTAGTTCAGGGACCAAATCGGGGGTCCGTACAATAGTTTAGGGACCAAAATAGGGGTTTAACCAATATACATTCCCATCATATACAATCATATAAGATGCATCATTAAGACTGTTTTGAGAAATATTCAAATAATTTTAAAAAACTATTAACACCAGTAAAATAGTAGTTATTTTAGTTCACCACAGAGAATTAACACATTACTTATTCATCAACAGCATTTTTTTCCCTTCATGGTAGGTTTCCAAACCAAAAACTAAAAAGAAAAAGGAAGAAAAAACGATGAAACCGACTTAAAAGATACCAAATAACCATTTTTTAATTTTAAATTATATAATAAAAAGTTATTTATTACCTCATAATGTAGCTTACTTAAAATAATTTTTTTTTTATGATTAATCGTATAATGGGAAGCAATTCTCTTCATCTTCTATTATTTTTTATCTCATTTCACTTATATGTTATGCGACTTGAATTCAAATTTTTTTATTTTTAACGAAATGAGATTATCATTTAATTACTTAAATAATTAATTATTAAAATAAAATTATTATTAAATTATTTAAATTATTAACATATTCCATTACCTTTGTAATTTCTAAGATGTGTGGTCCTTGGCATTCCATTGGGCAAAAAATATTTGCAAGATCTCATTCATAGTCAAGGATCAGGTTGATGGGCAATGAAGATTTTTAGGCTGGACCACATCCTATAATGGACCCACCATGCGTAAAATTATGATGAAAATGGCGCCCCAAGTTATGTAGCTCCGGGTAGACATGTAAAACAACAACTAACAACTTGGAAATGACAATGCAGTGTTCTGTGTCATTTTCTCACATACCTTAATTAACAAATCTCACCTGTGCCACCAATACTTTTTTTCTGCCTTTATTTTTTCCTCATTAATTCAAAAATACAATTCCATCACCCTACCTTAAAATGTCATTAATTAAAAAAGGTGAATAAAAGGAGGAGTATTGATATAAATATAGTTTTTTTTTATATAATTTATATATATTATTAAATAAATA